TCGAGAGATTCTTCAACCAAATATCTTTGAAGATCGTTCATTTTCTCTAGTGCATGTAATTGTTGTTTTGCATATAATTTTCCAATAATGACCTCTTATGACTTTTATTGCTCGTTGACAAGTCGTTTTTGGCAACCTATACATCTTAAAGAGAAATACAAGTAAACAACAACTCAAACAAACATGAACATATTAAAATGCTTAATAAAATAAATTAATTGATTCACCACCTCCACACTCAACATTGTAGACTTCAAACAACTCGTTAAGGATTTGTTCCACCTTCATAGTGATCTTCGCAATAGTTTGACCATTATAAAGGCACTCAAAAAGAATCTTGAAATATTTCATCTTATACATTGGATCAAGTACAACAAACAAAAACAACATCGGATTGATGTTATCTGGATCCCCCCCCCCCCCAATATTCTCAAACTTAGTCTTCATCTTCTTGGTGTAAGGATCTCACAAAACTCATGATAGAAGTTGTTAAAAGTGACATGCAAAGTAGCACTAAACTTTAAAGTAACTCCATAAAAAGTAGAGAGAAATTTGACAAAAGCCGAAATACACTTTCAATCAATACTCTTAGGTGGTCTAACTCTCTTCATCTCATTCTCATTTTCTAGAAAGTGACTAAAATACTTATGGTCTTCGTCCTCATAACTTGCAAAAGCTTTTTCGAATTTAAGTGCCACGCCTAACATCATAAAAGTTGAATTCAATCTTGTAGGCACGTCTAAGATCAACCCACCCTTGTAAGTGATCTTTCCCTCTCACGTTGAACTTTTGTTTAACCTTGAAGAATATGACTGGATGTATCTGATACTATTACGTATGGTAGCGATTGAATCATGCAACTCCTTTAACCCATCACCCATAATCAAATTTAGTATGTGAGCACCACAACTCAAATGGATGAACTCACATTCAAGAACCGAGCCTTTCCATGCATTAATCATCTTCTTTACCAACCAACAACCACATCATTTGCAGATGCATTTAAACAGTCACACTAAGAACCTTTTCTAATCCCCAACCATGCAAACAAGTCTCAATAACCTTACTAATTGTCTTGCTGTTGTGATTTGCCATTTGACAAAAAATTATAATTTTCAATGCAAATGCTAATCGCTATCAATATAATGTGCGGTTAGGCACATATAAGTCATTTGAGTACAAGAAGTCCAACAATCGATAGTTAAACTTACTCTTTGCCACCCTGATTAACTCTTTCTTCAACTTAACACGTTCCTCACAAAACAACTTGAATTATCCCTATTAACAGTTATTCTACCAGAGACATCAAATTTAGGTTGCAAGCTTGGAAGCTCTCTAAACCATTCCCCATCAACGACACTAGAAGGTTTTTCATCTTTTACCACAAAACTAAACAAGGCATTGCGACAATTTTCTTTATTAAAAGTCACGACCACCAAATTTCTCACACTATCACCACCACCTTGAAAACTAAGCACTTTTTGCTTTTTATCGGTTTCCCTACCCGAATACCTCTTATGTTGTTTTCTTATGTGTGCCCACAAACTAGTTGTGCCAATTTTCTTATTATCACAAGCATAATTTTTTTCCACAATAGTTGCAAACACACCTAGGATCATTTGGATTTCCACCCTCTAGTTTTGCAAAGTGGGCTAAAACATCAGATATCTACAACCCAACTTTTTTTTAATCAAGGTGTGGTTCTTCTGTGATCTCTTTATCGATACATATTAGGGTAGCTTAGCAGCCATGAACTAAATAAAAAGGAAACAAAGTAAATCAAAGTAACGATACATGTTGGCAAAGTAAATCTATGTAACAAAGTAAATCAAAGTAACAACGTACAAATTTCAATACATAAACAAAATCAAAGTACCATAAATCAATACATAACCAGAAACATATAAAGATACATGTGTTAGAAACTTAGAATAAAAGAATTTTGTAGTTTGTAGTTGAACCTTCAACCTATGTACTGTGCAAAATAGAAGAAATCGGATGAATTTTTTTTATGAAGAAACGATGGGTAGTATAATCTGTTAACCAAAAGAAATCAACACCTGGCAAGAAGAAATCAAAATCAACAAGAAATCGATGGGTAGTGTTATATGTTAACAAAAAGAAAATCAATACCTTTGTGAAATAGATCTATCAGAACGAAACCTGGCAAGAAGGAATCGACATCTAGGTCAAAAATGAAAACGGTACATATTGGCAAGAAAAAATTGATACATGTTGATGTTGGCAAGAAGATGTTTTTACCCGTGTTGGCAAATGGCAAGAAGAAACCGATTTCTAGGTCAAAAGGAAATGATTAGGAAAACTCGATACCTGCTGGCTGTTGTGGAAGTGTAATCTGTTAACCGTTAACCAGAATGAGTTCTTGTTTCTGGCTTTCGCTATGTGCACTAAGGCTGCGTTTGTTTTGCAGACAAGGTGAGACGGGACGGTACAAAAAAATAATCTCATGTTTAGCATGTGGGACAAACACAAGATGGAGCAAGAAGGGACTAAAACTCATTTTCATGGGACAAAATTAGAGTTTTTTTATTGACCTTGGACTAAAGTTAAAATTACTTATTTACCCTCCAAACAATACAAAATCTAAAACAAAACTCTTCCAAAATCTAAAACCTAAAACTCTCCCCACTCTCAAAATCTAACTCTCAAATCTAAAATCTAAAATTCCCCGAAATCTTAAACCTAAAACTCATTCACATCGAACTCTCAGGTCAAACTCCTCTTGATCTACTTCTGAGATCGAACTCTCAGGTCGAACTCCTCCTGATCTATGTTTGAAATCGAACTCTCAGGTCGAACCCTATCAAATCGAATGTCTTCACCCCTCAATGTCCAGATCTACATTTGAAGGTCGAGGAGTAGAAGATGGGTGGTGGTGGAAGAAGAACCTCGAAGTAAAACAACAAGAAGAACCTGGAAAAAATATATTGATGGTGAAAAAAAGATGTATTAATGGTGGCTGCTTGAAGAGGATGAAGATGACTAGGTTTTTTTTTAATGGTTGTACGGGGGTTTGGGGTTGCGTGGTGGGGGTTTGTTTGATTTATTTTATTGATTTATGTAACTTATTTAAGTTTTATGAATAAATTTATTCAAATATTTAATTGATTTATATTGTTTATAATTATCACATAACAAAAAAATATTAATCAAGGGTAACATGTTCATTTTAATAGTTTAGTCTCGTCCTGTTCATCTTATCAAACGCAAAACAGACAGTTAGTCCATCATGTTCTTGTTGTACTAAACATAGAACAAACAATTAAGCTTGTCTCGTCCCGTCTCATCTAGTCTGCACACCAAATGCTACCTAAATGAGACGGAAGCTACCTAAATGAGACGGAAGACTGGAAGTAGGGGCGGATCTACCTTGTAAAAGGTGGGGGGAAAGGCCCCCATTAAAAAATTAAAAAAAAAAAGAATTTTCTAAGGGTAAAAGTTGTTTTTTTTACTTTCTACCATGGTTTTCCTCCGTATTGTTAGGCCCCCACCAACTAAAGAAAGTATCTTGAAATCAACAAAAAAACTGAAAAGTTCCTCGAAATTGATAAAAAAAACCCTTAAAAAATCCCTCGAAATAATCCAAAAAACTTCAAAAATCTCTTGGAATGGTGGAATAAGGCTAAAAACACATCGGACGACTTTGTGGGCGTTTAAGCTACCTTAAAGGTGCCCCCACTAGACCAAAATCCTGGATTCGCCACTGACTGGAAGAGTATATTAGTACACCCAAGGGTTATCGGGTTGGGTTGGGTTCCATTGGGCCTGGCCCAATAGTAACCCAATAGAGGCGGGTTGGCCAATTTCATGATCAATCATGCTTCAGGTTACCTCATATTAGATTTTTTTGATCGAGTTAGTCGGGTTGTTGAGCACCTCTATATAGAGATTTGTTCTAGGGGTGAGCAGTGGAACTGGGTACCCGGTTACGGAACCGGAACCGCCTTGAAACCACCGGTTCCGGAACCGAAACCGATATAAGTGGTTCCGGTTCCTAAAATACGGAACCGATTGAGAACGGTTCTGGTTCCGGTTCTCAATTTTTTGGAACCGTTACACGCCGAGTACCCGGTATTTTTCAATAAAAAAATAATAATAATTTTTTAATATCAAATTTATATTAGGTTTACATCTTGAAAGCATACCGTCATCTTCATTCTTCATCTAAATTCTTCATATAAAATGATTCGTATTTTTTCAAATTGTGTGTTCACTTGGATTCATAGTATGTAATCGTTAAACTTTGAACATTTAYCATTATADTATGTAATCGTTAAACTTTGAACATTTTCTATTAGTCTATTATGGTTTGTAATCGTTAAACAATATTTGTAACCATTATTCTGCATAATTTGTATTCTTGCTTATTTATTTAGTGTTTTGGCAATGTTTTATTTTTTATTTTTAAATAACAAAATTTAAATATTTTAGGAAGCGGGTACCCGAAACCAGAACCGGTTCCAAAAATTTTAGAACCGCTCTAACCGGTTCCGGTTCCGGTTCCAATATCTCAAGAACCGCTGGTTCCGGTTCCGGTTCCTGTCAAAAAGGGCGGGTACCCGCCTATGCTCACCCCTAATTTGTTCATATATGATTAAGTATATGAATAAATTCAAAATAATAAATAAGCCATAATACTATATATGTTGCTTATGACATGTGGTTGGTCGTGATTAGTGGATATCCATGGTGATTAATCAAGTGTGTTCATTCTTATCGAACATAACTTCTTGAAATACAAAATGACATTTAATATTCATTTTTTCTCGTTTTCAATTAAGTCCATAATTACATGATATGTGAGTCCATAAAATAAACAAGAGGGGTTGTCATGACTTGAACCCAATTCAATTATTATATGTATGTATATCATCAGAAACCAATAAGAGTGCAAGGTAAACCGAATTCGATGTGTGTAAACCTTAACAATTTAGAACCCACCAAACTACAGAAACATGGAGAGTGAGAGAGATGAAGAAAGAGAAAGGGCACTTGATGCATATGGCCCCCATTGCATCTCATCAAACCTCATATCGATGTGATCGATATGTACCACCAATACACCTCCCTTTTCATCCTCCCTGACCTCCTCTTCTTCAGATCTTATTTAACAAACTAATTCCACCCTCATTGGTCGTGATCTAAGTATGTCCTTTGACAGAGGAAAGGAGCCAGCAGATCATGGATCATCAGGTGATCCACCGCCACCTTCCCCTAGTCGCTACGAGTCCCAGAAACGAAGAGACTGGAACACCTTCGGCCAGTACCTGAGAAACCAAAGGCCTCCCGTCCATATCTCCCACTGCAACAGCAACCATGTGCTTGAGTTCCTACGCTACCTGGATCAGTTCGGCAAGACCAAAGTTCACTTGCAAGGTTGTATCTTTTACGGTCAGCCTGAGCCACCGGCTCCGTGTACCTGCCCACTTAGACAAGCCTGGGGAAGCCTTGATGCCCTCATCGGCCGGCTCCGTGCCGCCTACGAAGAAAACGGAGGGTCACCCGAATCAAACCCTTTTGCCAGCAGTACGATTCGGGTTTACCTTAGAGAAGTCAAGGACTGTCAAGCTAAAGCTAGGGGAATCCCATACAAAAAGAAGAAGAAGAAGACGACCTCCATGGGAGGAGAAGACTCGAGCTCCACAGTGCATTTCTCTTGATCGTAAGTTTTGCTCTTCCATTCATATGCTTTTTCATCAATCCATCCATCATATTCAGTCAAATATCCCCAGATCTCGTTATATATAGCTAAAGAATAATCCATTTCAAAAAGCTTTGGCGTCACTCATATGAGCAGTAGGTATCTGAACATGCAAACATCAAGTAACCACGAGGTCTACCATATATTTGCATAATCAGTAGAGTAGGCACTAGCTCTGCAGTTCGTGTGCCCTAATGTATGGACACTAGACTCCAAATACAATTAAATCCATCCATTGGAGCAAGATCTTCAGATCTTAAAAAAGATTTCACTAATCCTCCAATTATTATCATATATAACATATTTTTTTAATCCAAAATCTAAAATTTGTGTACTTTTCGTTATGAAAATAATCAAGAAATTGAATTACATTTCTTGTTTTCACCATATGAGCACATTTAAACCCAAGATTTCTTGGTTTTTCTTGCTCTTTCTTATTGGGGGCGGCGGGGGCGGGGGCTGGCGATTAGGGTTAGATTTTCCAACCAAAGTAGGATTATTCAACTATGTTCAACTTAATTTACCAACCTAAACTACTACATATAACTATGTTCAACTTAATTAACCAACCTAAACTACACATATAACTATGTTCAACTTAATTAACCAACCTAAACTACTACATAAAATTTCTATACACTTACTTTGATGTGCTAATTGTTTCAATGATGGGTCATGTTTATCTAATTTCGAAATAAGCAAAAAGATCAAATGGATCACATGAATTATAAAGGGAAATATTGTTTAAAGCAAATTTGACTGACTTTTTAGTAGGCAAAAGAATAATTTGAGTAAATGCAGGAATGAAATAAAGCATGGTGAATAATATGCATACATTTAAACATCATGAATTCGTTCTCATTTCCCATTATTACTTGTGAATTTGTTTTAGCTTTCATTTGTACATGTTTAATATGAAACATTATAAGTATTATAATTCCAAAGTAATTAAGCAAAACAGGTTTGATGTTTTTCATCTTAAACTTGAATAAAACGTAATTAGGCAAAACGGGTTTAATGGTATGTCAAAATCTACGTATTTCAAAAAAAATTATACCATAAAATATGTACGTGACATTATTTATTAAATCATTACTTGTTTGCTTTCCAATTTTTTTTTGCACTGTTTCTATTCCAATGAACACTAATTTATCGTAAATTAATGTTATTAGAAGTATAACAACAAATTTATTTAATTATTTTTTATTAAGGATTTTTGACTTTACGAATTCATATTTCAATTTCGAGTCTTACGTACGTTTACTTTATTTTATTATATAATGACATTAATTTTAAAGTTTTTTTTTTCACATATTACTTGTTTAAGTTATTATAAAAAATGGGTGGATCAAATACAAACCTCTTTATTTGTACAAATCACACAAACCTCATTTAATAATTAATTTTTTTTTCATCTTTTTTTTAATTATAAGGGTTGATTAGTCATTTTTATTGTGAAAGACATTAACTATAGATACTATCATCTTCATGATATTAATTTTAAAAAATCAATTCCATCAAAAAAAGAAATACATGAAACAATTTTATTTTTATATAGAAATAAAAATATATGAAATTTCATTAGAAAAAGAATTATATAAAACAATTTCATCAAATTAAGCAACTTTATGAAACAATTTCATTAAATTAAACAATGAAATTGACGAATGAGAATGATTTACATGGTCCGTTCAAATGAGGAAGTTTGTATTTGATCTCTCCCCTATATATATAAGGTTCAGCAGAAAGCCTCAACAAAAAGAAAAACCAAAAACACTTCATCAACCGTTAGATTAATTGATACAACATATATGATTAAAGTAGCTGTTACATCTATATTTTTAAAGTAAATAATCTCTCACTGCTATTTTCTAAATCAAAAAAATACGAAATATGATTATAACTCAAACAAAATAAATTACACCAAAAAACAATCATATTTTTCTCGTTAATTTAACATCCATTTTCATATAACTTTTCATTCATTTTTTTGGTTTTGTGATTTTACATTTATTTAAAGTTTTCTTGTAAACCTAACACCCCCTCACCCCCTTTCTCTCTCTCTCTTTATATATATATATATATATATATATATATATATATATATATATAATATTGTACCTCAATAATAAAAAAATTAATAAAATCAAACCAAACTAACCTATTATATCCTAATTGTAATGTGGTTCATTACTAAAAACTAATATGTTCAATTAATTTATGGAGTGTTATAACTATTCTAATAAGCCTTGAGTATTTCCTATATTTCAATATTTTATCAGTTGTTTATTAATTAGTTTAATAGAATCTAACATGAAGAGGTTCAAAAATTAAGGATGGTCATAAAAGAAATTGGTATTAAAAAATTAGACACATTAAATCATTTCTATTGAAACTATTATTTCATTTTATTACTCTAAAACATTTAATATTCAACTAACATATTTCATAGTTAAGTCATTATTTGTTTTCTTTTAATTTATTTATTGACAACACATGTAAATATTAATAATTTATGAAACTAAATTTAGCACCAAATGTTTTTTTGCACCATTTTTATTGCAATGTATACATTATAATTTATTGTCAATTATAGTGTTATTAATAGTAAAACAACTAATTTATTACATGTTTTATTTAAGATTTTTGACTTATAAATTGATCTTTCAATTCTCATTAAGTTTTAGTTATGTTTACTTTATTTTATCATATAATGACATTAATTTTAAGAGTTTTATCTATTTATTATGTGTATAAGCTATAATAAACCAGTTGTATACCTATACAATGCAGTGGATTGTGAAATTATTCGTATATATCATATTTCTATAACAGAAAATATATAAAATCAAGCCATCGAAAAAAAATACTATCTAGAGTATATAGAGTGTTGTACCGTTCTAATAACATTAACTTTTTCTTATATTTTAACAACTTATCATTTACTTGTTTAAAATTTAAAGATAGAGCATTTCAAAATGGAAGATGGGCTTAAAAGAAATCGATGTTTAAAGTACAATTTGTGCAAACAAAAATGTGTTAACAGTTGAAGTTGGTTTTAAAAGAATACGATTTTTAATTAACTTATATTATAAGTCAAAAGAGTTTAACTTCTTCAAAAACTTCTTATTACCGGTTTGACACCGGTATAAATTGTTCATCCAAACACTCAAAAATATTTATTATCGATATCACACAGGAATAAGTCAATAAATTGTTTTTATAAGCAATCTCAAACACCCCCTAAAAATTATCAGTTTTACTGAAAATACTATTACATCTTTATTATTCTAACATTTGATATTCAACTGTCTGAACATATTTATTTTTAGTATGTGTGATATATATTGTATAAATTTAACAATTTATACATAGACAAAAGCAAATAAGAAATGGATTTTCATATCAAAATTGCACCCAAATTTTAATAGTCGACAGAAAGAGAAATTATTTGATGCAATGGTCAAATCCATTGGTTTGGACAAAAGGATGGTTAAACACCACTTAAAAGTTTAAAAATATCTTAAAAATTCATTATGCAAATTAACTCCGGAATTGGTTGATTAATTCTAGATGATAAAATCTTTAGTCTGTAAATAAGTTATGATTATTTTGTATGTTACAGTATAATATGTATTTTTCATTCTGGAAGTTTTAGCTCTGATTAGCAAATAACGAGAGGAAAATTTTCTAGTTATGAATCGAATCGGACTTTGAAGAAGGGGAAGGAGAATGTGTCCTCGATCCACAAGAAATAGAGGAGGATTTATTCCATCACATGGTTTAGGCTGTATATAGAAATACTCAAATGAGAAAGATGTCAAATAAGAAAATACTAAAACGCCTCTATCAAATGTGATTATAAAAATCATATGTAATTAACGTTCGATCAACATAATGGCATGCACACGTGCTGGGCTAGGGAGCTAAGAGTGTTGACCGAACGAAGAAAAAAAATATCACATGCGATATATGTGTTCTCGAGTTTTCTAATTTCAGTGTATTCTCGTTTGAACACAACCCTTATATCTGCTTGAACTTACAATAAGTTCTTGGCTCATTAACGGTATTCTCCCTATCAGTCGGTGGGCGCCCCTCTCCCAACCTGGATCTGATTCACCCTGCAAGTTCTATTGATCATGTGCCTTTCCCTTCGTTCGATTTTCGGTCTTCATTGTTTTTCATGGGGTAAAAGTCAGCTCATTCTTACAGCATCCAAGGAATATAAGAGAGAAGTTGGTTTCTTTTAAAAACACAACCCTTGATATAAACCATATAAATCAATCTCAACCCTTGATATAAACCATATAAATCAACCCTAATGGTTTGAGATTAAAAAAATCCCTTCTTTTATTAACCAAAGAAATAATACTAACTTTGTTAAGAATCACATCTATTAAAATTTGTAGTTGACGGATGTAATTTAACTGAGAATTTGTAAATTTTCAACAATGTGACGCGCTCACAGTAAAAAACATAGGTGAACAAGGGTAAACTAATAAATTATTCTAGAAGTCGGTTTAGGAAAATTAACTTCCCTAATTAATTAGGAAAGCTTATTAAATTCCCTAAAAATTGGTTCCGTAAAAATAAGTAGATTCAACAATATACAAATGTTCAACTATGCTAAAATAGCAGATTCACAGATTAATAGTTGGACTGAACAATTGCATAATTCACTTATAAACATTTAGGGCGTTCGTTTGTCAACTTAACATAACTTCATCGTATTCCATTTATGAACAAATAGGATTCCTTCCACAAGATTTATACCTTTGATTTAATTTATGAACAAATGTTTACTTCACTGGTGAACAATAATTAGAGTTGATGAACGAAAAGTACAGTTCATTTACAAACACATGTTATCCCCTAAATCAGATGAACTTGATAGTAGAATTGTAACCAACCGAAATATGCTCTTGATAATTCAAAATATTGAAATCCAATCAAATATACCT